AGTCAAAAGACAATAAAAATGTAAGATAAACTTCAAAGGCTTTATAAGCATTAATAGCATTCTCAAGTCTCTGGACAGAAGACTATGTGGGGGAGGAACAAAGTTTCTCTTCTCTATTGATAGTTTAATCACTTTCCAATCAATTTTGATTTAACAGCAGTTCCTGGGATTAATTTTTAATGACTTCTTATAAAGTTGTAATTGCTTCCAAAATCAGAAACCACAAGATGATGTACTCAAACACTACACCGATGAAATGCTGTTATGGAGGTATTTACAGAAAGGTGCAGATAAGAGCTCAGCTGTGAACACAAGTTAACATACAGTGGACTCCAAAAGAGTCATTTGTTTGTATAGTATGGCAAGAAAAAAATATTCTGAATAAGCAGCATAAAAATCTAGCTGCATTTTTTATCTATTTTTATAAATCATAAACACAAAGGAAAATAGGCATTTATCCTAGAAACTCCATTTACCTGTGGAAAACGGAACACAAGTAATTTTTATTCAAGATTAACCTTCATCCCAATAGAGTACAGCTAACAATTTACATTATTTAAATTTTTGAAAATATTGTGGAAATTGACACCATGAGAGGTGACATTAGTTTGTGCTCAGTAAACATTTTGTTAAATAACACAAGCAAATTAACTTAAGATGCAGACTGATAGGTCTCAGGATTTAAAAACCTTGTCATTCCAAAGGCACAGAATTACAGCACATGCATAGGATGGGCTTTAAAAATGGGTGGACGTAAACTTTTCCAGGGTGTTGGTGTGTTTTTTTCTTTTTCTTTTCCCTTTAAAGTGCTTAGTGTTAAAGAATCTCCATCACTCTGTCTACAGTTTTCAAGCAGAAGTCCTCCCCTGTACCTTAAAGCCAAATTGAATATTAGTATTTTACAGTTTTTTGTTTTTTTTTACAAAATGGCTGTAAAATCACCTTATGGGCATACACAGCCCTTTGATCTCACTGCACAGAATTCATAACTGTTCAATAATGCTATACCATTACACCACACACCTTAAACTATTTCCATTTTTCCACCCTTCCTTCCAAAATCAGCCTTCCAAAAAGCAAAGCAACAGTAACATGAAAAAGTTCCTGGGAGGGCTTGTGACACAAAAAGAACAATTTGGAAACAACCTCATCTACACAATATCCATCCTCTGCGTGGCTGGCGTGCCCCTCCTTCCCCTCCATCACTCCTTAAAGGTGGGCGCCCTTGAGTCACGGAAAAGAAGGCTCCTCCATCACCACCCCCCCCTCCCCAGCACCTCTGCGGCTGGTCCTCAGACAGGGGCTCTGTGTAGGTGATGGAAACCACAGGAGGGGGTGGGGGGGAGAAAAAAAAAAAAGAGAAGCTGTCCCTTTAAAATGCCCTGCTCTGTCCCATATCCCACGTGGAACCAACATCAGCAGCACTTTCCCATTAGCTTCCATGTGATGCAAGAGGCATACCATGCCCTTTCTATGTACACGAAAGCCATGAAGACAACCCAGCTTCACGTTCTGGACGGAGGATGAACAGGTGAAGCAAACGTGGTCAGGAAAGGGAGCAGCCCCAGCACCCTCCCCACCAGAAAGGTGCTCCCAGCCTCGCACTCCCAGGCTCTCCGTCACCTCCCTCCACCCCTCCTCGGTGGAGCTCCGTTTTAAATAAAAGGAGGGAGCCACCAACAAAACCTGAAGCAGAAACGCGACCCAAATTTGCCATCTAAAAGCCGGGAAAGGTTTATTCTTCCCATCACACATATTAACTCCATTAAGAAAAAAATGGCATCACTTTTTTTCCCTCCCCCCCCTCTCCATCCACCCCCCTCCCCTCCAAAAAAAAAAAAAAAAAAAAAACCCACAACAACAACAATAAAAAAAAAAAACCCAACACCCAGCGAAGATCACCAAAAACAGAGTTATTAAAAAATGGCACAAATATACTGTTTATCTTATCTCGGATCAGCCCCCAGTGCCCGATAAAAGTTTAGCAAGTTTCTGCCCTGCCACCTCCCCCCCCTCCCTCCTTTCCCCCCCCTCCTCCTCCCCCTGCATCGGATTTTCACGTTTTCTCCTCATTGTCGGTGGAAGTTATAAGAAGGGCTCTTTTTTTTTTTTTTTTTTTTTTCGCCGCTGCCCTTCGAAGAAAAGTTTTTTTTTTTTTTTTCCTGAAAAAAATAAATAAATATTCACTCCTCGGTCCCTGCGACGCCGAAATGGACCTCCGGGGAAGGGCGGTTCGTGCTTTCACCTCTGGCGAGGAAACGGGGAGCATCCCGGGCTCGTAGGGATTTTTTGCGATTTTTTGAAAATTTTTATTTGGTTATATGCCTGAGTTCTCCCTCCATTTTGGTTGTTTATGATACTGACAACAAGCTGTCCCTGCTCGGCGCAGAGATCTCGCTCTCTCCTGCTTTCATTTAGCGCCCCCTCCCCCGGGCGCCCCCTCCCGCCGCCACCCCGCCGGCCCGCACCCGCCCGGGGACCCCGCGGCCGGACCCCGGCTCGCCCACCTGGGGAGGGAAAGGGCGAAGAAACACACACACACACACACACACACAAATCCATTTCGCCAGAAAAGAAAAAAAAAACCTCTTTGGGTGGAAAAAAAAAAAAAAAAAAAAAAAAGGGGCAAAGTTACCCCAAGTCACTCCAAGTTTCCCCCCCAAATACCGCCGACCGCGGGTCCCCGCCGGGCCCCCTGGGGAGCCACCTCCCCCCGGGATGTTTTGGTGGAAAATGCGGGGACTTTGCTCCTAAAACCGAATTTATATTAATTTTTTCCCTTATTTTTTTCGGGTCTCTTAATGTCTTCCGCTCTCGCTTGCTGCCGCTGCCGCCGCTGTCACAATATTCACAGCACCAGAGAGGAGGAGGAGGAGGAGGAGGAGAGGAGGAGGAGGAGGAGGAGGAAAACTTTTCAAACTTTCCAGACCCCGAATAAAGGTTTTTTTTTTTCTTCTTCTTCTATTTCTTTTTTTTTTTTTTTTTTTTCCCACCGACCTCACCTTCGGGTCTCCAGCTGCCTGGCCCCCCTGCCCTGTCAGAAGCTACCTTCGGGGAGTCCTCGCCACCCCTCCAGGAGTTTTTTAATTTTAATTTTATTTATTTTTTTATTATTATTTCCCCTCTCCTCTCCGGGGTCCCGAGCAGGGGCTGGGAGTGAGCACAAACTTTTCCTCCTCCTCCGGCCGCCGCCGCCGCCGCGGTTCCTCTTGCCCCCTCGGCTCGTCCCATAATTTAAAGAACCCTGATATTCCTCCCGCTAAACGCCTCTCCGCCGCCCCGGACCCCGGCAGAACTCACCGCGGGGCTTTAACATCCTCCCTCCGGCCCGTCCGCCGCCTTTACACCGCCCGCGGAATTTCTAATAATTTTTTTCTCATATTTCGGGCTGGACGCGGCGGGCCTGGAAATTGTTTCCTTACGCCTCTTTCCAGCAGCCATTGTAGTGTATGCGCTGCCCCTGCAGCCCAACTTGCAGCTGCCGCCGCCGCAGCCGCCGCCGCCGCCGACGTCGCGCCCACCGCCGCCTCCCCGGGCCTTGCTCGGCCGCCGCCCCCGCCCCCCGCCGGCCCCGCCTCCCGGGCCCCGCCCGCCGCTGCGCCCGCCCCCTCCCGAGTGCGCCCCGCCCACTAGGCGCCGCGCCGCCGGGAACGGGCCCAGCCGATTGGCAGAAGGAGCCGCCGATCAAGCCAAAGTGTTAAGGGGCGGGCCGAGGGGCGGCGGGGCAGAGCGCGACGCCCCGCCCACCCCGCCCTCCCCGGCCCTCCTCCCGCCAGCTGGGGGCGGGGCGAGGCCCGCCCGCCCCCCGCCGCGCAGGGCCGGGATCGGCTGTCAGTCAGGCGGCGGCGCGCGCCGATTGGGCGGGCGGCCGCCGGGGAGCGGGGGCAGCACGTTAGGCTGCGCGCTACTTAAGGTCCAGCTGCGGGAGCTATTGACGTGTTTGGAGCTGGAGGCTGTGTCGGGTCCCTGGCGAAGCGGCGGCACTTCGAGGTGAGTGATCCCGCAGCCCTCCTTCTGTGGCGACCGCAGGGGACGGGGGATCGGGGGCTGCACCTGAGCCGCCACGGGGCCCGCACACACTTCCGCGCGGAGCTGCTTCCACCAGGCCTCGCTGCGGCGCGGGCCCCTTCCCCTCGCTTCTCCTCCCGGGTCTCCTCTTTCGGGCCGAGGACGAGGAAGGGGACCCGTGCCCGGGCCACCCCAGCTGTGTCTTCAGCCTCCTTCCCAGCCTTGGAAGCGACATTGCCTGCGCCTACACCCCAGTGTCCTGCCTGGTCCTCGCCACCTACCCCCTCGGCGCCCGTCGAAGGTGGAAGCAAGGTGTGCCCACCTGTGCCCGCCGTCCACGGTCAGACGGTTGGACGGGCTGCAATCGCGGAAGGAAGGCAGCGAGGTCTCGGGCTTGCATCCTCTCCGGCTCCTCCATTCGATTTCCCGCCTCCCTCCGGTATGCCACCCTGACTTTCCTGACCCTGTCTCCCTGCACCCAAAGGTGGGAGCAGGGCTTTAGGTCCTCACGGGGACATTCTCCAGCTGCCCGAGAGTTGCATCCGCGCTTTGCCAGGAGCACAGAGCTCTGCCTTGGCTCTGGCCAGCCTGTGGACGTGGGCGCAAGGCCCCTTCCCCCTTCCCTTGCAAAGTTACTGGTGCTTGGAGAATGGGGACGTGATGGGAAGGAAAGCAAACACTTCTTAAAGCAGTCTGCCCTGTAGGGGAGATTGTTAGAGCTGTTCCTCAGATGTGCTTGGGAGGCCCTTCCTTCAACTGTTTGGCTTTCTTTCTGGCAAGGAGAGCTTTGCACCAATCACTTCTGTCTAGCACATCCAGAAAGTTAAGTAGATGAGGCCTCTCTCTAGCGGACCACTTCTCACTGTAAATGGACATTTCTAGTTCACACGTGAGGAATATTTTTGCAAAGAAGGTGACATTCGGAAGTCCAAATGTAGATGGACGTGTGTTTAGAGTTGGGAGCGGAAAGGAAATGGCATGTGGATAAACTCATGCTGCAGACCTTATTGGGGTAAATGTGATGTTATCTAGAGGTTATTTTTTTTTTTAAAGAACCCCTCATGATGATGATAAAATGTAGAGTAGGACACTTTCACATGAGGCATGCAGCCTGACTGTTGCCTGCATCTGATCGTTGTTGAGATGGCATCCAAGGAATATGAACAGCGAAGCAAAGAGTTCTGTGTTCTCACATCGCAGGATACATATAAATAGCAGGGCTGTGCATGCAGTACCATCATTTTCTCTAGGAAGTCAAGCCTGGGAAAGAATTGTGTTCCGTAGACGAAGAGACTTCTAGATATATTTGAGCAACATTTTGAATATCCCTTTTGCCAAGATGTTTTTGTTAGCCAGTTATATTCATGTACTGTTCAATGAAAACCATAAAAAAAAAAATATATAAGGATTGCATCATGGGTACGAAAGGGCCCCAGAATGACTAACAACTTTTTTTCATGCTTCTTTGCAAAGGTTGGTCTCTTTTAGCCTGGACAACCTGATTATAACATAATTGACGAAACCAAGCTTGGTGACTCTTAATTGAGAATACCTCCCCTTTTCAGGAGCTTGTGGATTTTGACTATTAGTCCTGAATGTATTTTTTTTTTAAACATGATATATATATTTTTAAATATATTTTATTGATTTTGTACAGAGAGGAAGGGAGAGAGATAGAGAGTTAGAAACATCGATGAGAGAGAGTCATTGATCAGCTGCCTCTTGCACATCCCCTACTGGGGATATGCCCGCAACCAAGGTATATGCCCTTGACCTGAATCGAACCCGGGACCTTTCAGTCCCCAAGCTGACGCTCTATCCATTGAGCCAAACCGGTCCTGGCACATGATATATTTTTTGATGGTTCCATCTTGGGCAATGAAAGAAGAAACCATTTCATACAAAAATTCTGACCTCTGGTTATACTGATGTAGTTTTCATTCTGTGGCATTTTAGAGGTCATACTACATTATTTGCTGTCTTTCCCTTCAATCTTTATGTGAAGATAACTAAGCTAGAACAGGTTTCGAGAATATAAATTAAATCAGCTCTTTAAACTTAGTGCAGAGCATTTAAAAAATATTTGTAATCCAGTCTGGGTGGCTCAGTGGTTGAGCATGGACCTATGAACCAGGAGGTTACTGTTCCATTCCTGGTCAGGGCACATGCCTGGTTTGTGGTCTCAATCCCCAGTAGGGGGCATGCAGGAGGCAGCCAATCAAGGATTCTGTCTCATCATTGATGTTTCTATCTCTTTCTTCCTCTCCCTGCCTCTCTGAAATCAATAAAAACATATTTGAAAAAAAATATTTGTAGGTGGTTCATCCATGGTATACAATATATTGAAACAAGAAAATCACTTTGAAATATAGTTTTATAATTTTTTCTTTTAGTTCCTATGACATGCCTTTGAAGACAATAAGCATACCAACTTCAGTTGAACTTGGTTATAGTAAGCAATTGTTGTGGACTGTAGTTGACATGCCAATTATATGAGTATATGACTTGGCTGGGAATATAACTAATTGGCTCTTAGGGAACGGTTATCACTTTTAACCAATAAAGACTTCTGAGGCTGATCTGGAAGATTTGAGTTGAAAGATTAATAAATGACAGTAGCTTTCCCTGATTCCTTCAACCCAGAAATATCAATTAAATATAAGATAATGCTGGAAGTCAGGTTTCAACTTAAAAAAAAACTTTTCGAAATCTCACCCAAGAAGTAACTTTTGTTTTTTGGTATATTGGCACTGCGGTGCTGGCCATGGAATAGGCATTCATGCTCTTTAGTTAAATGTTTTTACTAAAGTTGGGTTATACTAAGTTATTCCACATATATTTTTGTATGCTAATCCTATATAATAAAGAGCTAATATGTTAATTAGACCAAACAGCAGAATGACTGCCCGGACGACCTTCTGGACGACCTTCAGATGAAGCCAGGGCTGTGTCTCAAGAGCCAAGTCCCTTGCATGACAAATTTTGTGCATCGGGCCTCTAGTCAATGTATAATAAGGAAACAACTGTTAGAGTGCATGTTGTATTCTTAGGTTTTGTTAGTAAAATTAATTGCTTAACCTTTAGAAATAAAAAATAAACTAAAATTGAATGCTCGCTGAACTATCTTTCTTTTTGGACTTCACAATCAACATTTCAGTAGATGTATTTAAATATCACCTTTGTGCTGAGGCACTATGGCAATGCAAAGGAAAAACATATCCAACTCTTTTTTTTTTTTTTCTTCAAAATACATAGGCTGTAGGAAGTTCCTCACTAGATAATCACTATGCCAAAAGTAATTTTCAAGCATTTATGGGGCTAATGAGATTTATTGATTCGTTTTATGACATCCACTGTATAACTCTTTTCCCCAACATTTACTACCTTCAGTAAGAAGACTGTTAGGATGCCAATGGTAGCACGAAGAATGAGAGATCCTGATACAAATCCTTGCTTGTTGGTAAGGTGGTTTGCTTTTAATTTTTGTGAGTGTTAAGCTGGGAAAACAGGCTTCTTCTGGTTTTGTGGGCATCTGTTTTCTGCAGTCTTTTTTAAAAAATGTTTTCCTCTATTTGCTTTTTTATTTTAATGGGATTTTAAAAAATACAGAAGTTTTATATTTCCTACTCAGAAATCCAGTAGTCACTTCCATCTTTTTTTTTTTACTATGTCATTTATTATTTTTTAATTAATTTAGTTATTTTTATTAAAGTATAATTGACATATATTAGTTTCAAGTGTACAGCATAGTTATTCAACATTTATATTCCTTATGATGTGATAACCACAATATGTCAAATATAACTATCTGTCACCGTAAGTTATTATTGACCGTATTCCCTGGGCTCATTACATCCCTGTCACTTACTTATTTTATAACTGGAAGTTTGTACCTTCACCTTTTTCACCCATCCCTAAGCCCCCTTCCCTTTGGCAACCATAAGTTTGTTCTCTGTATCTACCAATCTGTTTCTATTTTCTGCCATTTTTTAAAGGTTATTTCTGTCTAAAAAAAATATTCCTAACCAGTCTATCCTTATTTTACTAGGACATTTTTAGATATGCATAATTTAGCTAACAAAGATTTATCTCTTTTAAGTTTTCCTTATTTATATAATATGCAAGCATTTAGTTGTCACTGTAATGTTAAACAAGCATATGTAACACTGAGGAAAATTTTTAGTTCAAACATGGAAAGTTGGAAAATATGATGTTTTTAAATTGTTACTGAAATTTACGTTTTAATAGCAATAATTTCATCATATCCTTGAGATCACCTGGCCAAGAGTAAGGGGCTGATATAGAATTAGTCTATTTAAACTCTAAAGATTTTCACAAAGGTATATAAACAAAATGCTTTGTTGAATAATAAGCTTTGTTGGTATTTATTTGGTATGACTAGCAGTATTTCTGGTTTTGTCACCCTGGGATAATGTAGGATTAGGGAATCCCATATAGGATTAGGGAATATCATTTCCCTAGCACTAGTCTGGTCAGAACTGGGAAAAGCAGGAGACCTGCCCTCTGAGTCAAGAGATGATTTTGATTCTAGCTTGTGCTGCAGTGATTTTGAACACATTGCACCTTGCCACAGCCTCTTTGTTAAATGGTTACTGGGTTAAATGATCACTAGTCTGGTGCTAGGGAAATGATATTCCCTAATCCTATATGGATTTTCTAAACATACACATTCATTAATTATTTGGCAAAGAAATTTAGATTTGTTCTGAATATTATGTTTCAATTGCTTTACTAAGTCTCTTTAGATAGAATTATATTTTTTTGATCTATGAAGCAAATTGCCTGTTTAGTTAAAGCTTTCCTTTAGGTAGTGACCTCTCAGAATCATACCTTTTACTTTGAAGTTTGTTATCCAATCTGCTTCCAGTACAGACAGCTTGAATTTCATTCCCAATGGCAGCTACCCTCCTTTGAACTCACAGCCCTGTGTTGCTCACGTTAGTTTTGAAGTGATCTTAATGATATCTATTAAAATCGCTCACACGATAGTGTATTTACTTGCATAATGATAGCAAAAATACTCGGAGATGAATGTTGTTAATTTAAGTTGCCTTGATGTAGACCAGTTATTAGCAATTTACTTAGGATCTCAAAACTAGCATTAACATCAAACATTCAAGTCGAAGTCAGAACTGGGAAAAGCAGGAGACCTGCCCTCTGAGTCAAGAGATGATTTTGATTCTAGCTTGTGCTGCAGTGATTTTGAACACATTGCACCTTGCCACAGCCTCTTTGTTAAATGGTTACTGGGTTAAATGATCTCGGTCAGTGCTTTGGCTCAAATTCCCGTGGTTAGATATTCAACAAACTGACCCAGACTACAAAAAGGAAGATGAATGCCCTGTGCAGAATGACTGCCTGGGATAGTTGGAAAAATAATTCAATTTTTGTTCATTAAATGTTCATTAAAACAAACAAAAGGAAACTATTTCATATTAGCTGCTTTGTGGAGGAAGCATCTTCAGAAGTTATTTTGGGTTTTTTAGATCCTATCCCACCTCTTAAATGATGCCTATCTTACATATTTAAGGAATCTGATGCTTCTACCAGATGTATGGATGAAAATAACTATGACAGGGAAATGTGTTCCAATTACTTCTTGAAGTACAAAAACTGCCGAAAGTTCTGGGTAAGTCTAGCGAGGTTAGATGAGATGGTCTAACTCATCCCTTAGGCTCGAAAATGAAGGCTGAAATTAATCAGTTCCCACAATCCTGCCTTTGGGATGGCTGTAGGGAAACCTTGCTACTTTGTCCTCAGTGTGTTATTTTAGCCTAAATAATCATCGAGAGGTCTTCTTAATTGCCTCATCTTACTCCAAGGTAAAAGAATGCAGTTCTAATATAGGTGGCTTTTCCTAGGTGTATGAGTATCTGCAGCCCTAAAACAATAACCCTGTTATAATTTTACTTCTCTTGGAGATGAACAGAATGGATAACTTGTCTTGTCATAACACATATTAGGCTTCCATTTCTGTCTCCTGCTTTCCCGCTGCCACCCAGGATAGTTTAAATGGTCCCATTTTTTTTCTGGAGACATTGGTATGCAATTTCTGTTTCTCTGAGCACAAGGCGCAGCTGCTTCATTTCTCTCTGCTAAATTAAGTGATGGTTTCACCGAAGGACTGTGCTCTTGTAGTTAAACAGCATGTCCCCATCCCAGTCACCGTTAACGCAGTCCTCTGGGAATAGTCACTTCTACTTAATTGTTCTTAGTTTGAAACTTAATCTGAACTCTTACAATTAGTTTTTTGGGTTTTCTTTGTAATTAAAAAAAAATCTTTTTGAGGAAGCAGTAGCAAGTTACTGGAAAATAATTAGCAGTTAATACATGACTGAATTTGGTTTCTTCTCTTTTTCCCCCTAAATGCAGAATGCTATCATGATGCAGAGAAGACAGAATGGAGTGAAGCCACCTATGCCAACAGCAGCAGAAAGAAATGAGATCTTGGCAGCAATGGGAAAGATGCCCTATTGAATGTTTGCATTAAAGTGATTTAACTTAAAAGGAGATATTTTTAATAAATAATTACTGTAATCTTTTAAGACCGGACAAACCTTAGTAGACAGATCTTATATTCTGTTAGGAAAGGCTACACAAGGAGCTGGGCTTTTCCTCTGGGTCTCAAAAGAAAAGAAAAGTATGAGAAAGTAAAGCCTTCATGGGATGAAAAGAAGGCAGTATTTCATGTGAGCAACAACATGCTAGAAGGAAAGCTGGAGACAAATTCAGAGTTGTCCACTGTCTCACATGAGTTTAAGGTGGGCAGGGAAGTAATGGCAGAGATGACTGTGCGTGGCCTCAAACCCGAGGCTCTTTACTAAGATCTCTATCCTTCACTCACTCACCGTGGTTTAAATTAGGTCAGCACATCCACCAGGCAGGAAGCAGGGCTGAGGAAGGTTGCCGTAAGTAAATGGCATACAAAAGAACTGGCTTTCTTTCTTTAAGGAAAGGTATGGTTAAAGGCCTGTGACTAAAATCCATAAACATTGGACAACCTTCTGAAGGCATAGTATTCTCAAACTACAGCAGTGATTCTCTCAGAAATAGGATGTTTATTTTCAGGATGCGCTGGGCAGGGGAGGGTAGGAGGTTCATCAGGTGAATATAACACTGGGATGAAACTAGAGCTCAACTTCACTTTATGATATAAAAACAATTCATAAGCCTGTCAGAGAAAGACAAGTATCACATGATCTCACTTATGTGTGGAACCTAATGAACAAAATAAATTGATGAACAAAATAGATCCAGACACATGGAAGCATGCAACAGACTGATGAGTCTCAGAGGGAAGTGGGGTGAAGGAGGGAGAGATTAACTGAAGAACTTACATGCATATGTGCATGACCCATGGACACAGACAATAGTGTGAAAGCCTGGGAGGGGTCAGGAGCTGGGTGGAGGGGGTCAATGGAGGATAAAAAAGGGATAACTAATACTTTCAATAACAAATATTTAAAGAAATATTCAGTATAATGATGGGTGCATTGCATAGCAGCTCTTATACCCTCCACTTTTTAAAATCCAGTTTGCTTCATTTAAAGAATAGTTTTATAAAAGACATTTAATAATGGAAAATTAACAAAAACAAATAGTTTGTGTCCCTTTTCTGTAGGTGGCCCATGATCATTAAAGAGTATAATTTTAATGGTTGCTGACAACAAACTATCCATCTGGTCTTTGTCCAAAATTCAGCTCAACTGTTTTTAAGCCATAGCATTGTCACTGGTACCTGTGATTCTACTTGAGTACAATGTGATTTCATTTTGAGTAAAGTTGTATTTGAAATTCTGGAATGTTTCAGAAATTCATTTGTATTGATGACTGTCAAAGTGATGGATTAAAATAGGACCTGACAAGAAATTAATACATACTTGAGTGAGAAGAATTTCAATACCCTTAAGCATGCTTGTTTAAGGGTTTGGAATTTTAATGTCACCTCTTTAAATGTACATACCAATATCGACACTCATCCTGAAGTTCTTTGTCCTGGCATAGCTCTTTTTAAAAATAGCAACTGCATTCAGATAGAATTCATATATAAATCACCTATTTAAAGTGTATAATACAGTGGTTTTTAATATATTGACAATGTTGTGCAGCCTTCACCACAATGGTTTTATCACCCCAGAAGGAAACCCTGTACCCATTAGCACACATTCTTCATTTTCCCCTAACACCACATTTCTTCCCCCTCCTCTCCAAAACATAGGCAACTACTTATCTACTTTCTTTCTCTAGAATTGCTTGTTCTGGACACATATAAGTGGGATCATACAACATGTGGCCTTTTGTGACTGGCCTCTTTCACTTAGCCTCTTATCAAGGTTCATTCATGTTGTATGCATCAGTACTTCATTCTTTTTTATTACTAAGTAACATTCCATTGCATGGATATACCACATTTTATTTATTGATTCATCAGTGGGTGGATATTTGAGTTGTTTCCACTGTTTGGCTAAATATGGATCATGCTTTTACTTGTTTTTGGGAGGGCATTCATTTCTTTTGGATATATGCCGGGGAGTTGAATTGCTGGATCGTAAAGGTAACCATATTTAACCTCTTGAGGAACTGACAAATTATTTTCCAAAAGTGGCAGCACCATTTTGCAGTTTATGAGAATTTCAATCTACACATCTTCATTAGCACTTATTGTCTGTCTTTGAATACAACCATTCTAATGCATGTGAACTGGTGTCTCATTGTGGTTTTGATTTACATTTCCCTGATGGCGAATGAGGTTGAACATCTTTTCATGTGCATATTGGCCACTTGTACAGATTCTCTGGAGAAATGTTCATTCAGATCCTTTGTCCATTTTTAAATTGGATTGTGTATACTCCTTATTGAGTTGAGGGAGTGATTATGTATACTAAATACAAGGCTCATCAGATACATGATTTGCAGGGTTTCTCCCCCCTCCCCCCCCCCAATTCTTTGGGTTGTAGCTTCACTTATAGTGTCCTTTAAAACATACAGGCTTTTAATTTAAAAAAAAACCAAACACGTATATTTATTTCAGAGAGGAAGGGAGAGGAAGAGAGAGATAGAAACATCAGTGAGAGAGAATCATTGATCAGCTGCCTCCTGCATGCCCCCTACTGGGGATTGAGCCAGCAACCTGGGCATGTGCCCTTGTTGAACTTGGGACCCTTCAGTCTCCAGGCCTGTGCTCTATCCACTGAGCCAAACCAGCTAGGGCCAGGCTTTTAATATTTTAAAAATATGTTTTTATTGATTTTTAAAGAGAGGAAAGGAGAGAGAGAAACATTAATGAGAGAGAAACACCAACACTGATTGGCTGCCTCCTACATGCACCCTGCTGGGGATCGAGCCTGCAATCCCTGTAAATGTCCTGAACCAGAGACCTCCTGACACATAGGTCGATACTCAACTACTGAGCACACCGGCCAGGCCAAAGGCTTTTAATTTTGATGAAGGTCCCGTTTGTTTTTTCCTTTTGTTGCTTTCGATGTCACGTCTAAGAAAGCATTGCCCAGTTCAAGGTCACAAAGGTCTATACAGATGTTTTCTTCTAAGAGTTTTGTGGTTCTAAGCTTTTGTATTTAGGTCTTTGATCCATTTTGAATTAATTTTTGTATATGGTACGAAGTACAAGTCCCAATTTCATTCCTTTGTATCTGGCTATCCAGTCGTCCCCGCACCTTTTGTTGATAAGACTGCTCTCCCCTATTGAATTGTCTTATCGTCACTCTTGTTGGAAATCAATTGCTTGTATTTGTGAGTTTATTTCTGGGCTTTCAGTTCTATTCCATTGATAGATATGTCTGTCCTTATGCTGGCACCACACTGTCTTGATTACTGTAGCTTTGTAGCAACGCGAAGCTCTTTGATCCCTGGTTACTATAAACATGTTCCCTATAAAGTGCTTTTAATAACAAACTAATTATTTGGGTGTTTTTGATCAGCAAACCTTTACCACCTAATCATAATATGGCCCCACAAAGCTGTTAAATGTTAAAGTAGTCTACAGTAATCCCCTACTTCCTTGTTTGCATCTTTACACAAACCCTGATAACTTCAGTATACACGTCTTGTAACCAGGTTGTTCAAGATCTCGTTTCATCACTTCAGAGTGGGGAGAGTCCCAGGGGGTTTGTTTCCCTTGTCAGCACTGTTAAATTTCCCACGATTGTATTTCTTGCTTCAAGATTCTACGTTGGGATAGGAGAAGCTCATTAACCTGATAAATTAATTGTGTCAGGATGTTAGTGTGTGCCGTGAACAATTTTGGGGGTAGGCAAGCCTTTGATATGAACTATCAACTAAAAATGCAGGTAGCAGGAATCTTACCATGTTCAGGTGCACTCACTGTTGGAGAAAGCATCTCACAGGTTCTCAGAGCCGTGGGGGGAGTGTGACACCCTGTGTAGTGTGTAGCAGCAATCCTTTGGAGAATCACTGAGCCTATTTGAAAGCTGGAGGATATAAACAATAGTGTTCATGGTTATATCCAGAACCCCGGGTATGCTTTTACTGTGAAAGAAATGTTCAACAAATGTGTATGTGCTTTAGGAGGGACAGCTTTTAAAACGGGACAAATTGAGAACCATGCAAAAGGCTACACAATGTAAACAAGACTTCCCAGAAGCAGCCGATGTTGAGTTTTCAAGATTTTCCGGGCTTACTGGTATGCAAAAAAAAAAAAATTTATATATATATATATATATATATATATATATATATATACACACACACACACACACACACACACACGTACACACACACACACACACATATATATATATATATATGTTTGCATTTGTGATTTTTCACAAAAGAACCACCATAGTGCATGAGCAGGAGGTACCTTGCTTTTTTCACTTAGTGATACAGTTTGGAATAATTCCCCATCAGTGATTATAGGTTGATTGCATTCTTTCCATGGCTGTAGTTCTCCACTGCTTAGACATAACATCATGAAATAACAGTCTCCCCCTGATGGGTTTGCTATTAGATATAAAATTGCTATAAGCATCTTCATGTATGCTCTTTGTTCTGTTTTTATCTATATGATTAATTTCTTTTTTAAAAATATATTTTATTGAATTTTTTACAGAGAGGAAGGGAGAGAGATAGAGAGCTAGAAACGTCGATGAGAGAGAAACATCGACCAGCTGCCTCTTGCACACCCCCTACCGGGGATGTGCCCGCAACCAATGTACATGCCCCTGACCGGAATCGAACCTGGGACCTTTCAGTCCGCAGACCGACGCTCTACCACTGAGCCAACCCGGTTTCGGCTAAATGATTAATTTCTAAGAGTGCAGGTTTTAGGTTCAAGGTTACAGCATCTGAAAATTTGTAGATATTGAAAAATCAACCTCAAACCCTCCCCCCACCACCCCCTACCCCTGTTACCACCATTTGGAGCACACAAATTTTTACTCCCATCAACAAAGGCTGTAGGTGTGTCTTTTCACACCCTCAGTCCCACTGGGGTACTT